GGGTTTTCCACCATCAGCGTTAAGACCGAAGATCAGCAAGCAACCAGGAAATGATGACTAGTGTGCTCAAGAATTACGTTTTGAGATCATGTGTAATCAGTAAAACACTTTATTTCAGAAGAGTGTCCATTCTCAGTCAACAGTAATCAACAATTCACTTAATTGTGAATTGATGACTCTTCAGTTCAGATCAAGTCTATTATTCAGTATTAAAGTACTGAATTCTCAAGTCATGTAATCAGTAAGTATAAGCTTTAAGTTAAGCTTGTACATTCCAGTTTTAGTATTTCCGAGGACGGAAATATTTTAAGGGGGTGGATTGTAACGTCCCGTATTTTATTAATAAAGGAAAATACTAGCTTTTAGTTTTAAGCTAGCCTTTGTTAATAAATAATCATGTTCATGTTCAAGTTCGAGTTAATCAGCTAGTCATATTCCAAGTTCAACTATTAGTCGATAAATTATTCGGTTTAATTATTTAAGTAACCGAATAAGTTTCCAGATTTAATTCCGATTTGTTTATTTAATTAATGAGTTCGGAATTAATTATTCAGTCAGGAATAGCCCATCAGATTAATAATATAAATCATGTTTTAGTTCCGGTATAATAATATTTTCGAGTATTATTTTCGAAATTAATTATTTTCAGTCGAAATTACCCGAAATTAAGTTCGACGTTCCGTTTACGATGGGAATAATTTTGGTAATTAAGTATTATGCTTAATAATTAATTAGGCATAATTTAGTGATTAATTAACAATTAATCACATTTAAAGGAATAAAAAGCCGTAGCTTTTGTTCGGATTTTTGTACCAATTGCCGTAAGAAATGTCTTCAAGCCAAGGAAACCATTCCTTCTTCTTTAGGTAATTAGACGTGGCATCTTTAGGTGGGTTATGTGATGAATAATCAGTTTTACCCTATCATCTTGAAGTAAGTGGCATGTCTTAAGAAAGCCAACAAAGCATGTCATCACTAATATTTCCTTTCGGTTTAGTACAAAAAGGGTGTCTTGGGAGAAATTTTTCCCATGTATTCAGCATATGTACTTATATATTCAGCATACTAAGTCATATAAGTATAAATAGTTAAAGAGCTTGAGAGTATTTACCTTAGTAGCTACCGCAAAGGCTTAACCGCGCACTAGTTCATCGCACGGCGAGAGCATAGCTTAGCACACGCGCGGAGGTTCCGG